TTTTTTTTTGGCACCAGGGATCTAACTCCAGACCTTGTGCTTAAGAGGCAGGCAGCAGCACCACTGAGTTGAATCCCTGGTCCTATTCTTCGATATTTTTAATGATTACCATTCTTTCCAAAGTAAGATGGAATCTTAGTGGTTTTTTAAATTTATATTTCTCTAATGGCCAAAGATGTTGAGCATTTTTTCCATACATTTGTTGACCATTTGTATTTCTTCCTCTCTGAAGTGTCTGTTCATTTCTCTTGCCCATTTCCTGACTGGATCTTTAATTTTAGGTGGTTTAATTTTCTTGAGTTCTGTGTATACTCTAGATATTAATCCTCTGATTGACGAGTAGTCAACAAAATTTTTTCCCATTTTGTAGGCTGTCTCTTCACTTTACTGATTGTTTTGCCATGCAGAGCTTTTTTGGCTGATAAAATCCCATTTGTTAATTGTTGTTATTATTTTTTGTGTAACTGAGTTTCTGTTTAGAAAATCCTCTCTTAAATCTATGTCTTCAACTGTTTTACCTGTTGTATGTTCCACTAGGCCTAATGTTTCTGTTTTAATGTTTAGATCTCTGATTCATTTTTAATTCAGTATATGATGCTATATAAGCATCCCATTTCAATCTTCTGCACACAGATCATTAGTTTTGCCAGCACCACTTGTTGAATAAGCTATCTTTCCTCCAACATAAAGATTTGGTCTCTGTCAAAAATCAAATAGCTGAATGTGTCCAGGGGAAGTTTCTGTATCCTCATTTCTGTTCCATTGATCCTCATATCTGTTTTTGTACCATACCGTTTTTACTGTTCCTTTGCAATATAGCTTTAAATCGGGTATTGCTATTCTTCCCTGCCCTGCTCTTGCTGCCCAAAATTGCTTTTGCTGTTCTGGTCTCTTCTGCTTTCTTAAGCATTTTAGGCTCGTTTTTTAAGATCTGTAAAGTATGCTGTTGGTGTTTTGATTGGGACTGCATTGAATCTGTGTCAGAGTTTTAGAAGTATGGCCACTTTGACAATATTAGTTCTGCCTGTCCGGGAGCAGGGGACATCTGTCCATTTTCTGATGTCCTCTTTGTTTTGTTTTGTTTTTTTCATTGTACTGTAGAGGTCTTATTGTAGAGGTCGTTCACTTCTTGGTCAGGTTAATTCCTAGGTATTCCATTTTTCTTGAAGCCATGGTGAATGGTATTATTTTTCAGAATTTTCCTCTCATTCCATTCATTGTTGATGTACACATTGCTAGTGATTTTTGTGATCTTGTATCCTATATGTATCCCTTTTATTGTTTTCCTTAAGCTTATTGTTCTGGCTAATGTTTCAAGTACTGAGTTGAATGGAAGAGGTAATAGTGGAGGACATCCTTGTCTTCTTTCTGATTGTAGAGGGAATGATTTTAATTTTTCCTCACTTACTATGCTTCTGGCTATTGGTGTGTCATATATGACTTTTTTCATATTCAGGTGTGGTTCTTCTACACCTGTTTTCTTCATAAAGGGGTATTGGGGTGTGTAAAAGGCCATTTCTGCATCTATTAATATGATCATTTATGAGATTTTTGTTGTTGTTGTTTTTCTCTGGCTGCCTTTAAAATTCTGGTGTTTTTGTTTGTTTGTTTTGTTTTGATTTCTTTTGCCACACATTTGGGAGTATAATAAGCATATACCTTGGTGAGAATCTCTTTTCATCATAATTGTTTGGTGGTCTGTAAGTGTCACTTACTTGTAATTTAAACTTCTTATATTTGAGAAATTTTCTTCCATGATTTCTGTAAGCATGTTAGTTAATCCATCTGTGCTATCTTCTAGTTTTCTCTAACTCTGATTAGCCTTGGATTGGTCTTCTCATTGTCATCTAGTAGCTGCTGGATAGTCTTCTTTTGTTCTATTCTTTTCTTTTTGGCCTCTTTGAACTATATTGTAAATTCAGTGTTTTGTCCTTACAGTGTTCTTACAGTGTCTTCACATTGGTCATTTCTCAGTATATGAATTTTATTCAGTTTTTATTTCAGGCATTTCTGTATTCCATCTTTGCAAGGATTCCATATCCTGGTGAAATCTATGATTCAAATTTTGAACTATTCTGGTTAGCTTGTCCAGTTTTTTGCCTAATTTCCTGAAATTCACTGTGGGCATATTGTTTGAAATTGCTGGGAATTTTTTATTTATTTCCTCTATTTGCTTCATTCCTTCAAAGATCTTTTCATTCGTAGATTTCTGCTACCTGGTATTTTTATTTTCTTTGCCTTCAGTCCTCTTGCTTTGCTTTAGAAGAGTTGGCTGGGGCAGGGGGGTTGGAGATCTGCTATTTTATGCTTCCCATTCTCCTGGTTGTATGTGTGTTTGTTTGTGGAGAGAGGAAGGGAGGGAGCGAAGTGGGATGAAGGGATGGAAGGAGGAAGTTCTTTTAAACTATATACAGCTCCTCTTTTTCCCTCCTTTTTTTGGAGGGGTTTACTGCAGGTGGAGATTAGAGGACTAAGGAGACCTTGTGGCTTATATGGAGATTTTCAGTAGGATGTTGCCTCCCTGTGAATAATTTGCTGCTTTGTATGCCCAGTGGTAGTATTTACTTCTTCTATTATTTAAGTGATTTTGGCTCTGTCCCTATGTTTTGTGAAAAGAAATCCTCCTGTTTATAACAGCATCCACAGATTCAGTCTTATAGCACTTCTATATGGTAGTCCTTGCAGTTACTCTTTCCCCCTTTGTCTATTCTCTAGGCACATTATGACAGTTTATTTTTTGTGTCTGCTCTGCAGTGAGGTGGGTAAAGTGGGGTGGGAGAATGGGAGGTGGTTGGATGAATAGTGTTACACCCTAAGGGAGAGATATAAAGGGGGAATAGTGGTAGATGAGTAGAAACGGTTGATGTGTCTGATTTTATTGGAGTACTTTTAGTTGAGTTGAATTGTTGGTATTGAGAGTTTTCAGAGGATATTTTGTAGGAGCAAGGGCAAGATATGGGAGAAGAGGGCTATATGATTCAGGAAAGCTATGCAGTTGTTAGAACTTGCAGACAGGGAGGATAATAAGCTAGGTAAGATATGGGAGAGCCAAAGGTTTAGGATGGGGAGGACTGAGGGTTAATACTAGTGAAGATAGAAATGACTGAGGGATCTAAATATGGGGAATTAAAAAACTTGGGAGGAGAAGTTATGTGCTTATGTCTATTGCTTAGTCCTGTTGCTTATGTCATTTCCCTCATGGTTCCTGTGTACCCTTCACTCACGTCAATTCCTCCCCAAGCTATTCTATTCCAGATTCTAGACACTTTGCTGGAGAAGCTGAGTTGCTGACACTCACTGCTCCACCATTTTGGGGCCCCACCATTGTCATGTTTTATAGACAATTTATACTTCAACTGAGAAGTGTCTGTTCATTTCAGATACCCATTTATACTATTCAGATATTCATTAAAGACTGAGTCCTTAGATTTAGGGGCGCTTAATGATTTTGAGTTCTTTATGTATTCCAAATATTGGTGCTTGATCTGAGGAATAGCTGACAAAAAAAATTTTTTTCCATTCTGTAGGTTGTTGTCTCTTCACTCTATTCGTGGCTTCCTCTGTTGTAGAGAAGTTTTTGAATTTGATGTGATCCCACTTGTTGATTCACAGTATTGTTTTTTGTGTAGCTGGTGTTCTGTTTGGAAAGTCTTTG